GGCGATGTATTTATTATTCCAGTTTACAAATGAAATCATGTTCAGCATGAAGGTGGTAGTGTGTATGTAAATGAATGAGGGTTGTGAGGACACGGGCCATACCATCGAGGTTAATGTCATAAATTGTGTATCAATTAAATAAAAAGACACTCAGTCACGGAAATGAAATAGAGAGAACGTATGTGGAAGCCCGGGTTTGTTCAGGCGGGATCAATATCACTGGGGCGCAATTGGTACAAGGGGGCAGGCAAAACAATATAATACACGGTGGGTCTCCGCAACTTCATCAAGTAAGTGCATGGTGGTCATCTCCCTCCAATAAGCACACTCGTCGAACAACGTGCACCTGTTCACCGGCAGATGTTTTCAATTTCATTGTTCTTACTAGTCCGTCTGAGTCCGTGTGGCTTTCTATGACTACACCCAGTGGCCAGTTGTCGCGTTGTAGCTTTTCGTCGACAATAAGGACAACGTCTCCAACCTTCAGAGACTGTCTACTATACAACCACTTCTGTCGAGCTTGAAGGGTTGGCAGGTACTCTCTTATCCAACGCTTCCAAAACACCCCTGCCAGGTAATTCGCATGTTTCAAACCCGAGGTATAGCAGCTACTAATAGTTTTGGCGTACCTAGACCTTCATTGTACCTCAATAGCAGAAGATCACTCGGAGTTAGCGCCAGTCCTCGCAGGTCATCGCTGGTGACGACTACAAGCGGTCGGTTGTTGAGTATCCTTTCGGCCTCTACCAGAAATGTGCTCAAAGTTCCATCGTCCGGCGCCTGTTGTTCACATAATGTTGTCACTATTTTTCGTACCGACCATACAAGCCGTTCCAAAACTCCTCCGTGGTGACTGCTGCAGGGTGGGTTAAAGTGCCATTGGGTTTCAGATGGCGACAATTGGTCTTGCAGGGCGCATTTATCTAAGCGCGTCAATCAGTTGCTCAACTCCTTTTGTGCACCGACGAAATTGGACTCGTTGTCGGAGAATACATTCTATGGAATACCTCGTCTACCCACAAATCTCTGCCAGGCCATAAGAAAGGAATCGGTCGACATGCTGTGTACGATCTTTATATGTAGGGCTCGTGACCGTGGGCAGGTCATTAGGCATTCGTACCGCTTCTCCGTCGATATTTTTCGCCTCACCCAAGGTGGCCCGAAATAGTCCACTTTAGTTTCGGCGAAGGGCCACCAACCTGGTCGTACTGGGGAACTTGGTAACGAGGCCATCAGTTGTTTGCTGAATGTAGCATTCTGGCGACGAAAAAGGAGACAGTTACCCACGATGCGCTTCGCCGTAGCTCTCCCTTTCACTATCCAAAACCGACGGCGAATCGTATTGAGTAGATGATTTTTCCCGGCATGACCTTCCTGCATGTTAATATGTATGATGAGTGTATGAGTAATGTGGTGGTTGTTGGGCAAGATAATGGGGTGTTTGGCGTCAAAGTCCAACTCAGAGTTTGTTAATCTTCCGCCTACTCCCAGCAAACCATCTACCACTATTGGATAAAGTCTTCGGAGAAAACTGCAAAGTAATGCACGTCGATCGGAATCACGATTACCCTTGCCTAACCTCGAAGCTCCGACGGGAAGGCTTGTAATAGAAGCATGCGAACAACATCAGCTTCTGCTGTTTTCAATTCAGTTGGAACGATGGGCCCAATATTCAAGGTGTCGTCAGGTCGGAGTCCTCTCATAATAGCGAGTTGTCGTTTGAATTTGGTCCACCAGACAAACACCCTCAGCACCTTCGTCCATCATGAAAAACAATGCCGTTTCTGCAGTAAGATGTGGGTTGAAGTAGCGACTCTAGTAACTCCGTTGCGACACGGATAATCTGAGTGTCGGGCCATTCGCTGGGCTGGTCCGTCAAGGAAACGGGTCTATGTAACCATGATTTCATTTTTCCAAGTTCAGCACATCCCTGGAGCAGTATTCGGCTGGATTGTCACAGGATTTATGTGCCACCATTGACACGCTTCCGTTTCTTCGTGAATGACAGCCGAACAATTGGCAACAAATGTGCTGAAGCGCGTCCGTACATTGTTAACATAGTGCTGAACTATAGAGAAATCAGTCCAGTAATTTATGGGCCATTCGGTCGAGTTAAAACATCTTTGAAGCACCATCGCCACCCTCACGGCTTATACTGTTTCGGCCAGTTCTAGCCTGGGTATTGAGACTGTCTTTAGGGGAGCGACCCTGGCTTTAGCGAATATTATACTGCTACGCCTCCTTCCACCTGGCCGACATTAGCAACTGTAGGCCACTACCCAGTATCCCACCTCCGACGCGTTCGCAAAAACGTGTAACTCACTTTGCTCTCCTTTGCGTACTCCTGGTATGGGACGAGGGAGTTGTATATCGCCCAGCTTGGACAGGCTCAGCCACCGGCTTTGCCAGGTCTTGTGATCCGCTTCTCATATGGTCTCATCTCAAGTAACTTTTTTTCTACACAGGTCCTGCAGCAGAATCTTACCCGGCAGTATCCACGGTGCGACAAACCCCATTGGATCGTAAAGGCTGACTAATGAAGACAGAATTACTCTGCGACTCGTCGTCTCCTCAGGTAGCTGGAGTTGGAACAAGAACTAGTCTTTCTCCGAATCCCATTGCACACCAAGTGCTCTGTCTGTTGGTAACGGACTCCCCTGCAAGTCACGGAGACTCGGTGACCACTCATCAACATTTTCTTTTTTTCTTTTCATTTTACTTCTTTTTATTGAATATACAAACATACAATTTTCAGGAAGGGGGGAAGCGGCTAATCAAAGGGCTGCCATTCAACAAATAATGGGGAAAATAAGCAGTGGTGGTGGGATTCAAACTCACATCAACGGGATGATAATTTGGTGACGTTACCACCGAGCCACCACCGCACTGGGAAGCATTTGATTGCATGACGACTGTTAGACATCCACTTGTTCAACTTGAACCCTCCCATGAGCAGTAGCTTGGATAAATCCCTAATGTGTTGAACTGCCTCCACGATGCTATCGAGGGATTCCAGGAAGTCGTCCGCATAAAAATTATGTTCAACACAGGAGCCCACCGGGGTTTCGAAGTGCTGAGCAAATTGATTCTTAACGCAACGTTTGCACAGAAAGGAGAGGATATCGCGCCAAACGGGTACACCGTCATCCGATATTCCTATGCAGGTCCCTCTAGGTCTCCATCCGGCCACTAGCACAACCGTTCCTTTGCACTTCGGGGACTTTAACCCACATGAACATCTCCCCGACATCAGCCGCTACCGCAACTGATCCCAGACGAAATCGGCACAGCACCGCAATCAGCGAGGTCGTCA